ATAAGTGAGTTATATGTCAATCAGATACCCAAAGATTTGTCTGGCAGGTATAGGTGAATTGTACAGAGGAAATATATAATTGGAATGGGGTCTTGAAGAATGCCCATGAATTCAAGGTAGATAAGAATAGGATTAAGGTGACATTGAAGTAAGGAGTACAAGATTTGTAAAGCCATGAAGCCATTAGTGGGATCGTGTGGTTGGGAAATGGAAAGAAGTTTAATGGGTGGTACATAACAAGGGGATAAATGGTTGGAGCTGAGGCAATGTGGACCTGTTGGCCCGGGTTGAAAAGACTCTTATATGCTATGCAAAGCAATTTTCATTTTGTAGGCAGTAAGGATACATTTTAAGTTTTTAAATTGTAGAGCAACATAATCAGATTAGTATTTTAGAATAGTGGTTCTTAAATTTTTTCAAATACAACACACCCTAAAATTCTTCAATTCTGTGACTATACCTTCATGGAGTAAAATTTGCCTTGGGGTATACCTACCTATGTCCTAGTTATAACAAACTTCTTTGAAGGAGCATATATAAACAATGCCCTAGGTAACTTAGGAACTTATGTGGTATGTAGACTTATGTCACGCTGTTAAATAAACTGAAATCATTTAAAATTTTCAGAACATTAGGAAGTTACCTATGAGATTTAAAAAAGTAATCTGTTCTAGCTTCTCCTGGGTAGATAGAACTTTTTAAAGACAAAACATAATGTATATGTTTGTACAATGCACCACTTTTATATATAGCTTATAAAAACTTTATCAAAGTCAAGATGATAGAAGTTTAATTATGGATCACTGGAACATATTTGGATTTTCTTTTCATATCTATCTATTTATATAGATATATCTATAAAAAAATCTATCTATTTATATATAGATAGATAGGTTTTTTTTTTTTTTTTTTTTTTTTTTTTTGCTGTTGGCCGGTATGGGGGTCAGAACCCTTGTCCTTGGTGTTATCAGCTATCAGCACCACACTGTAATCAGTTGAACTAACCAGCATGTTATTTTTTAAAATGTTTAAGTTAATGCTTAGCATTTCTTCTAATAAAATTAACATATATGCTTTAAATGCCTATGTAAAATTTGACTGAAACTGTGGAATATACTAAAAAGCATATGTACTTCACAGGGCCTGGTTTTCCAAAGCCTTGCAGTTTCAAATATTGACCTTGCGGAGGACTGGAAATTTCCCTCAGGCTATAAGTCCCTGTTGCAAGGTAAGGATTGTGGTACAGCAGGTTGCTGGCTCAAAGACAGACTAGTTACTGATATGTAAAGATACTGAGAAATTGCTGTTAAGAAGGAATGCTTGCTAAGATCAAACTGTTGATAGGACGACTTAATTGTCTACTGGAATGTCATCTGGCTTGTTTCACTGAAAGTTACCAGCCTATATTGTTAAACTATAACCCCACTTCTGTTCTCTTCCTATAACTTCCTGGTCTGGAAAATAAACACAGGAAGAGAACCCCAATTCAGCGTTAATTTCCCAAGGAAGGGATGGCTCTCGCTTGAGCTTTCCAAAGGGAGATTAACCACTTCGGGGCCTCTCATTGCTCAGAAGAGATGGGCTTTGACTAATCCTTTCATCTCCGTCACCCAGGGAAGGGGGGGTGACAAATCCGTGGGGGGCGAAGCAACGCAAAGCAACATGAAACCATATCCTGTTTTGAGCCTTGATTTAGATATATGATGATAATAGTTTTCCAGATAATAATGTCCCGTATTTATATAGGCATTTATATCTGACATATTATTTCATAAAAACACATTATTTTTATAAAAATGATCTCGTTTGATTCTTACAATAATATTTGCGATATATATATGTGTATACAAGTGTACTTTAAAAAGTTTGTGGAAAATAGAATTAAAAGATAAGATGAATCTTTCTATGAACTTTTTGAAGACCCTTCGTGTGTGCGTGTGTGTGTGTGTGTGTGTGTGTGTGTGTGTGTAGTCACTTTTGTCCATTTTACAATGTCCAGTCTATAGCTCAGGTGGATGGAATGAACATACTCTTCCACATAAAGGAAAGAGAGTGAGTTCTATTATAAGATAGATTTGATGACAAATCTCTGCCCATTACCCTGTCAACTTTGCATGCTTGGGCAAGTCACTTAATCATTAGAAAACTCTGTTTCCTTATTTGGGGTTAGTTGTACCTATCCCACAGGGATGTTTTGAACATTTTTTATAATATATGCGATATGCTTAGCACAGTGTTTGCCATATTAGTTGCCATTCAGCATACAGTGACTGCTGGTATTATTATTATTGTTGTTAATATTAATTATATTAATAAGAGCTCAACACCATTTATAGTTTCAAAATCCAAAAGATCTAAAAAATTAAATTTTCCCAAGTTTAAATTTTGCACAAAATCAATTAAGGCAAAAACCAGACTTGACATGACATGTGACTGTTTATATAATCAGTAGGTATAAGGTTTTTCTATGAAGTATTAATGTGCTTCCCCCAAATCCCATCAGAAGTGTTATGTAATTATGGTAGATGGGACATATTACCTTTTTATAATCTAAAAACTTCTAAGAAACATCTGGCCCAAACACTTTAAATAAGGACTGTAGACCTGTATAATTTTGAAACTTTCATTTTAATAACAGCTTTTTTGAAATATGAGGGTACTTCAAAACGTTCATGGAAATATTTGTATTATCTTTAAGTCTATTTTTTTATGAACATTTTGAAGTACCCTCATGTAATTCATAATCATAAGATTTAATAAATCTTAAGATTTGTTCAAGTGTACAATTCAGTAGTTTTTAGCATTTTCACAGCTGTGCAACTATCACCACTATCTAATTTGAGAATATTTTTATTATTTCAGAAAGGCACACTTTACCCATTTTAAGTCACTCTCCATCCCGCTGCCTTCACCCTCTAAGCAACCACTAATCTATTTTCTGTCTCTATTGATTTTTCCATTCTGGACATTTCATATAAAGGGAATAGGAATGATGAATTCAGAACTTTTGTGCCTGGGTTTTTTCACTTAGCATGATGTTTTCAAGGTTTATCCATTTTGAAACATGCATCAATATTTCACTTATTTTTATGTCCAAGTAACATTGAATTGAGTGGATATACTGCATTTTGTTTATCTGTTCATCATAAGTTGTTTCCATTTTTTGGCTGTTAGAATAATACTGCTATGAACAATTGTGTGCAAGTGTTTGTGTGGAGATAAGTTTTCATTTCTCTTGTCTAAACCTAGGAGCGGAATTGCTGGTCATCAAGTAACTCTGTATTTGGCTTTTTGAGGAGCTGCCAAACTGTTTTCCAAAATGTGTGTGCACCATTTTACTTTTCCACCAGCAATGTATGAAGGTTCCAATTTTTCTACATTTTCATCTCTACTTGTTATTGTCTGTCTTTTGGTATATTTCTATATTTCTTGATCATATTCTTTAAAGCACAAAAGTTTTTACTCCCATCCTAGTGGGAATAAAGTGGTATCTCACTGTGGTTTTGATTTGATTAGATCAGTTAATAATGATGTTGAGCTTCTTTTCTTGTTCTTGTTGGTAAATTGTATATCTTCTTTGGAAAAAAATATTTGTTCAAATACTTTGCCCCTTCTAAAATTAGATTATTTGTCTTTTTATGGTTGAGTTGTGAGTGTTCTTTACATATTCTGGTTACAAGACCTTTGTCATATATTATTTGCAAATATTTTCTCCCATTCTGTGATTGTCTTTTCACTTTCTTGATCATGTTCTTAAAAGCACAAAATTTTTATTTGATGAAGTTCAAATTATGTAATTTTTGTTTTGTTTTTGTGCATTTGTTGTTATATCCAAGAAACTATTGCCTAACTCAAAGTCGTGAAGTTTTACTCCTATGTTTTCTTCTAAGTGTTTTATAGTTTTAGGCTTTGCATTTAGGTCTATGATTTATTTTGAGTTAATTTTTGTCTATGGTGTGAGATAAGGGTCCAACTTTATTCTTTTGTTGCACCATTTGTTAAAAAAGTCTATTCTTTAATATTATGACTCTTGACTTGGATTATTCTCACTATTTAAAAATAACATAAAAATAGCAAGCAATTTTTAATGATCTTATTAACATAAGTTAAATTTGTGTTCTCAAATACTTGGGGTTAAATTTTGAATTGGCATTATTATTAGACAGCAGTTTGGAACCATTTAAAATTGCTACTTTTATCCATATGAGAGCAATTGCAGTGTAAAACCAGAGATAAGTTCAGTGCCTCGCACATAATAGGTATTCAGTAAATATTCATTGAAAAATGAATAAATTACGTATGGATTACTTGATTATTGTTCCTTGTTGATTTTTTAATGGACATTTAGAAAGTAACATATACTTAAAAATTTATGATTGAATAAATACAACTGTTTTTGTAAGTCAACCCCTCTACAAGTTAAAATAACAGAAAATAGTTTCAAGTTAGTCTCTACGTTTATTCTTGACTATAGAATACAATGGAAGCATATCCTGTACTTTTTGGAAAATTATTTGTGACATTTGGGTCAAGTAAATTTAAATAGGCTTATCTATTACAATACTTCTCAAAACCTTTATTATGAAAATGTGCCTTGTGAAAATGGGGCATACATAGTATGCAGTATTTTTAAATTATATTTGGCCATAGAAACTTATTTGGATTGAACAGGTGACAGCATTGGCTAAACAAGAACACCTTTTGGAAATGCTTTCACTGCGATTTTATTGTGTGGACAATTAGGAAACTAGAGATTATCCATTTAATATTTAATTATACTCTATTTTGAATTCCAGTAAGAAAAAACAACCAAGAATATTATTTTTAGTATCTGGAATTGAATTTACCAGGAATGTAAGCACAGCTTCCTCTATAAAGACGTTGCCTTTGGAAACATCTTACTGCTTGGCAGCTATCCAGAGTTCAGACTTAAAAACAACCAAGAATATTATTTTTAGTATCTGGAATTGAATTTACCAGGAATGTAAGCACAGCTTCTTCTATAAAGACGTTGCCTTTGGAAACATCTTACTGCTTGGCAGCTATCCAGAGTTCAGACTTGGCAGCATCAAGGACACAACACAAGGTGTGTTGATTTAACATTTGATAAAAGGTGTTTTGATTTGTGTTTTATTTTCTTTAATTTTGTTTTTCTTGTTTTGGGTTGTTTGCTTCTGGCAATGAACTTGGGTTTCAAAACATAGTTCTGTCTTATGGAAGGCAGTATTACAATGAAGAAACATTTTTACTTGTATTTATTTCGTGGTGTTTGGGCAAATCCAAGTAAATGAAGCAAGATTCATAGAGATATAAATCTATATATGATTTGTATGTTAAATTATTTAGTATTAGTAATTGTCTGCTACGATTTGTTACTACATTAAATATTAAGTATCTCTTGATATTTGGTGCATTATTATACTTTGGTACATTACAGTATTTTGGCAATTATATATTGATTTTAAGTAATTAGATATTAGTTTAGTAAGTAATGAACAGATTAAGATCATTATAAAATATAAGTTACTCAATAATAATATTTCTTGATTAATTGATATAGCCGTGTTTCCTATGTGTTGTGAAGAAAGGAAATAATGACATAAAATGGAAGAACATGGATCCCTTTATATCTCTGACATATTTTCTACCGTCCTTTCCCACTCCTTACTTCACTCACCTTTCAATGGCTTCCTATTTCCCTCAAGATAGAAGTTAAAGTTCTTTAACTGGCCTAAAAATCTCTACAAGACTTAACCCTTGTCACCTCTCTAATTTCATCTCCAACCACTGTCATTCTCATTCGCTTGCTCTAGACAGGCTGGTTCCTTATTGTTCTTTGAACATGCCATGAATTTTCCCATCTCAGGATTTTTGCACTTGCTCTTCTCTCTGTTGAATTGTTCTTCTCCCCAGATATTTTCACAGCCAATTTCTTTACTTTTTTTGCATCTGTATTAAAAGATCACCTTCTAAATGATTCTTACCTGACCGCCATCCAACACTTTATATTCTTTCTCTGCTTTTTGACATTTAACACTCTGAAATGAGCTACTATTTTATGCTTGTCTTCCTTATTGTAACTACCCACAAGAATATAAAGCATATGAGGGCAGGGACTTTTGTTTGCTTTGTTTTACTCTATTTCTAGCAACTAGAGTAGTCCCTGGATCTTGATGAGTGAATGTATGAATGAACCGTTAATTCAGCAAACATCTCTGAGCATTTACTAGGAGCTAGGCACTATGCTAAGTGGTGAGGATACAGGGAGGAAGTACACAGGTCCTGCCTTCAGGAGTATAGTTTAATAAGGGAAACAGGTAATTTCAGCAGCCATTTAACTGCAGTGTTTTATTATAATAATAGTAAGAACAGAATGCTATCATCACTTGGAGAATCAGCATTCAAATCAGACTATGTTGGGCTCGTGAAAGGCTTCCTGAAAAAGGTATCTCTCTATCTATTACAATAGCCAAGGATATGCTGTAGGAACAAACAAGCTCAAATCTTGGTGTCTTAACAAAGCAAATGTTTATTTCTCACACAGGCTATGTGCCCAGAATAGGTATGTAGGAAAGCTCAGGGACCCAAGACATCGAAGGCTTCATCTGGATGATCCCTGCAGCACTGGGAAGGGAGACTGTCTCATTATGTACTGGAATTTAAAGTTTCATTGGCCAAAACAAATTGCTTAACTTCAAATGGGGGACTATGCAATATTTGCTCCTACCCAGAAGCAAAGGAGAATTGAAAAATTTATGAGTCAAACCAATGGCTGCCATACCTTTCTACTGTTTTAAAGGAGGAGTATAAGATATCTAGGTAAAGAAATGTTTAAAAGCATTTTCAGAGAAAGGAAGAGTTTGGGTAAAGACAGTAAGATGTTATGTAGTGTGATAATTTTGGGGAACTGTGTGTAACAACATAGTTGGAGCATAGTGCATGTGTGGAAAAAAGACAGGTTAAAAAAAAATTGGAGTGAAAATAGGGCCAGATTTTACCAAACTATGGAGTTAAAACTGCATCCTGAATGTCATAGGGAAACACTGAATGATATTATATACTTCAGGGGAATTTCTTGATTTAATTTAAATTGTGAGAGATAGTTCTGGAAGTAGTGTGGGAATGGATTTGAGGGGAGGAAGACTGGAGATAGTAAGATCAATTGTTATATCAATGTAGTAGTGCAGGTGAGGCCCCAGGTGGAAGAAATGACAGAGGAGATAGAAAGAAGAGAAACAAAAAGTAGAGTCAAGGAAACTATATATGGGGGTAGTCTCCTGATCACAGAGGAAGGCTTACAGAAGACAGGACTCTTCTTCCACTGAGGTCAAAGTAGAGGTACTATGCAGACAGTGTTCATGTCTGAGGATGTATGTGTGGATTTGTGTGTTTGTGTTGTGTATCTCCATGTGCACGTTGGTATGTGTGTGTGAGTGAATTAGAGCAAGCTTGCAAAGTGACTGATTCCTAACTGTAAGCCTGTATTTTCTTTGTAACTTGTGAAACAAGCCTATGTGCCCATACTGAAATGAAGATGGATGAGGCACTGGAGGAGAGCCATGCAATTTGGAATGGCTACTGAGTCAAATGGAAGATATGTCAGATTTGCATCAGAAGGGGTTATTGGGCACTATTGTGCACTTGTAAAAAAACAGATTACACATTTTACTAGAAAAATTGTTTGGGGAAGCTCAGTTGCTTCTTTCTTTTAATTGTGTGGAATTCAGCAATAATTTGAAAATGTATACCTTGAAAAAATTTTGTATATGCTGTTTCCATTAGAGGGGCCCACAAGATATAATCTAGACCCTGGCCAAAAATTTTGGTTAATGTAATAATAAAATACCAATCATTTCATAACAGAGGAAAATATTGTAAGACTGGTAAAGTAATTATCCAGTACTTTTATAAAATTAATTTTTACGATACACTTTTAAAAGACATTTTTAGAGTAGTTTTAGGTTCACAGCAAAATTGAGAGAAAGGGTCAGATATTTCCCATATCTTTCCCCACAGGCATAGCTTTCCCCATTATCAGCATCTCCCATCAGAATAGTACATTTGTTAGATTTGATGAACCTATAATGACACACCATTATCATCCAAAGTCCATAGTTTACATTAGGGTTTACTGTTGGTGCTAAACATTCTTCGGGTTTGGACAAATGTGTTATGTCATGTATCCACCATTATAGTATCACACAAAGTAGTTTCACTTCTCTAAATATCTTCTGTGTTCTACTTATTTATCCCCCTCTTGCCTCCCAACACCTGGCAACCACTGATCTTTTTACTGTTTCCATATTTTTACCTTTTCCAGAATGTCATATAGTTGAAATCATATAGCATGTAGCCTTTTTGACTGGCTTCTTTCACTTAGTAATATGCATTTAAGGTTCTTGCCTATCTTTTCATGGCTTGATATCTTATTTCTTTTTAGTGCTAAATTATATTCCATTGTTTAGATGCACTATAGTTTGTTTATCCATTCACTTACTGAAGGACATCTTGGTTGCTTCCAGGTTTTGGCAATTATGAATAAAGATGCTGTAAATATTGTGTGCACGTTTTTGTGTAGACATATAATTTTCAACTACTTTGGGTAAATGCCAAAGAGTGTGAATGCTGGATCGTATGATAAGAGTATGGTTTGTTTTGTAAGAAACTGCCAAACTGTGGCAATACCATTTTGTATTCCCACCAGCAATGAATGAGAGTTCCTGTTGCTCCACATCTTCACCAGCATTCGGTATCGTCAGTGTTCTGGATTTTGGCCATTCTACTAGGTGTGTAGCAGTATCTCATTTTAATTTGCATTTCTCTGATGACATATGGTGTGGAACATCTTTTCATATGCTATTTGCCATATGAATGTCTTAATATCTACCATATTTGTTACTGCTTTCTATTTGTTGCTCCTGTTCTTTGTTCATGCTCCTGACTCTTGACTTCCACTCTTTTCTTGCCTTTTAAAAAAATTTTTAGGACCGGCCCCATGGCTCACTCGGGAGAGTGCAGCACTGGTAGTGCCGAGGCCATGGGTTC